AGCAGGACACTGTCAAAAGATTTTTATGGCCTAAGACTTTCGGCGATATGATTATAATTTTGTGGAAACAATTTGACGCCAGAGAGAAGAAAGAGATTGAAGGTGGTAGTGCAAAGGCCTCAAAGAAGATACCAAGGGCAAAGAGATCTCTAGGAAGGAAGACCCTACTTCACAATTAAGGAAGCCCCAAGTAAGATATGGCATTTGCAAGAAAACTTAATTCTTTTCTTTTTTCCCATTTTTTTTAAAGTGTTAACTAGTTGGAGCAGGTGTGGGCTTTTTTGGTGTGCTCTGGGAGACTTCATCCGGATCATCAGAGTCCCAATGGTTAAACTCCGGGGAAGAGGCTCTCCCAGACAGACTACTCGAGAGTAAGGGGGAGTTAGGCATCCCTTACCTAGGCCCTCAGGAAAAGAATGCCATGCAACATTCATCTCCCTTGTTGGTTGAATATGATTCTGGAGATGATGAGGGTTCTGAAGCTGAAATTTGGGAGCAGGTCGGTCGGGATCAGAAAGGGAAAAGACCCACTGATGGAGATTCAACACCACCGCCTCCTTTGTCTCAGGAAAGGATCGCTCCCGGGTGGATAAGCTAGATGGACGGTGAGAGCAACTTGTTTGGACTTCGAGTGGCTAGTACCTAATGGTGGAAAACCAGAGGGACTAATTCATCGATCTTCCTGTTGGCATCAATTTTTTATTTCACAAAGGTTTGGACGCTCTTTCGAATTACATTGGAGTGTGTAACGTGTATACGTAACCTCTCGTAGCTCAAAGATTCCATAATAACTTCTCACGAACGTTTTCAGAAATATCAAGGTTTTAGGTGTTGCACTCAAGTCATAATGTAATGCCTAAAAAAACTCTTATTTTTGAAGTTATGAAACCATATTTTAATGATACATAATTTCTCATAGCTTACCGATAAAAAAAATCCTAAAAAAATCCTTCACGGAAATTTTTCTGTGAAAAACCGAGGCATACGGGCCAAACCAGAAAGTGGCGCCAGTCCCCAAAATAGTAGGTGCCCATCCCAACGCCTAGGTGCCTGTCCCTAGAAAGTAGATGCCTATGCGCTTGAAACAACCTTGAAAATGTGTAAAATTGAAAGCGCAGAAAGTAGACGCCCAGGGCCCAACGACTAGGCGCCAGGGATCTAGTTCTAGGGCGTCAGGCCCAGTGCCTAGACGCCAGGCCATTATCTGCTCCGCTTTTTCTCGGGATTCTCATCCGGTACATCTCCTTGGGCAGCTGAAATTGCAAGATCCCTTGGATAATGTGCATATATGCCTAGCGAGAGTAAAAAGCTGGTGGATGCAACTTTTTTTTTTGCCTTTTTTGGAAGGATCTTGGAAACGTGAGCAAACCATTTTTGGCAAAAGGGGAGAGGAACAAGGTTTGTTTGGCTCATATTTTTCCTTGGGTTCCATTTGGTGTGAAGTTTCTCTGGTTTTTAGAGAGGAGGGTTAGAGGTTTTTATCTTCCATGGAGCTCCTTCCTCCTTGGTTTTTCCTCTAGAGAAAGCTTGGAAGCTTGTTTCCCTGAGGTGGAGAGCAGTAGAGAAAGGTGAGGTAAAGGGTATACTTCATACAAACCTCTTCTTTTTCTTCTTCCCCTACTTCTTCATTTTCACCAAGAGATCTTTCTTTCCCTCTTTCCTTCTTCCTCCACCACTTCTCTTGAGTGTGTGAGGTGTTTTCCGTAGAGGAAGTTTCCTGAGGAAGTCGTTATTGGAGGACAAGGAGAATGTTATCTCCCCTATGTCAAAGGAGAGCTTCTTCACTCTTTGGAGGAGTGTAGGCCAGAGCTTGAAACTTCATCGGATTCTCCTTATAGAAGAGAGCTTCTTCACTCTTTGGGGAAGGAGTGAAGTGAACTTTGTCTGAGCAACTTCATAGCATGGACAAGCAAAGAGAATGTGTCCTTAATCATCAAGTAGGTGAAAACTCTTAAAAATCTTGCAATTTCTTTTCCTAGAGCCCCTAGGTCAGGTTGTTAGAGAAAAAAGATTAGGGTTTTTGTGCTTATAGAGGAGCCCCACATAATTAGAAGCTTTACGCTTCCCCTACAAATCTGTAAGCATAACCTACTTCTTAGAACCTCAACCTAATCGTCTGAGAGACTAGCAACCTCGTGGTCATTCAGTGGCTTCATCGCTTGACGAATGGGATGAAGTAATTGTAAGCTAGAAAACGAGGAATTTCTTTGATCCTCGTTCTCTATATGGTGAAGGCTATGTTCGTACTAGAAATCCTTCACTTTCATGAAGACTTTCTTGTACGAAAAAGTCCTTCACTTTACCGATTGACTAGAGGTAGGCTCCTCTTTATGATGAGTAACATATAGGCATCTACGACTTCATCATTTCACCTTAGGATCCCGAGATCATTAGGACGAGACCGATTTTGTCGTTGAGCACGATTGGATCTCATATGCTTGCATGCATTCACATTCATGTTTGTATGGCATGAAATTTTAAAATTTGCATTTTGCATGTGTTTTTGATCGGCCGCCTACATCGGCGCAATTGATTATGCCCTGTCGACTTGAGCGATTGGACGTCACCAACCCGATCAAGTTAATCGACACCCTTTTCTTCGGCTCGACCGAGTGACCACCATCAGTTCAATCGGTTCAACCGACTCTTCTTCGTCAATTGTCTGCCCACATCGACCTAATTGTCCACCTTCGTTGCCTCGATCGATAGTCCACCACTAGTATTATCGGTTCGACCGACCATTCTTTATAGATCAACCACCCACGTCGGCCTGATCGACCACTTCTATAGACTCGATCGATCGGCCACCACCAGTTTCGTCAATTTGATCGACCCTTTTCATCGGCTCGACTGATCGACCACCAACGGTCTGATCAGTTCAACCAATCATTTTTCGTCGATCGACTACCCATGTCGGCCTGATTGACCACTTTTGTCGACCCAACCGATGGATCGCTACCAGTCTGATTGGTTCGACTGACACTTTTTGATCAATCAGTTGCCCACGCCGGTTCAACCGATTTCTCTTGTCAACTCAACCGATCGGCCGCCACCAGTCTCATTGGTTTGACCGACCCTCCTCCGGTAATCGTTTGCCCACTATGGACCGATCGATCACTTTCGTTGGCTCGACTGATCGGTCGTCACCGATCTGATCGTATCAATCAACTATACTTGAATGTTGTATGATTGCATCATTATTTCATATTTCTTGCATGAACACATTCACCCATGCACCCCTCAGTGCACCTGTGAGCATATTCCCCCACTTGGGCACAATACTTTGTGCCCGTTCCCTCGATATTCTCACATGTCGTCATGCACCACGCCCCGAAGTATTCACACCTGCACTTGTGCACCCTTGCATGTTTGCTTGCATAACATATTGTATGTTCACATTTCATATGCTTGTGCCTTTCTTCGAGTCACTACTCACACACTCGCTCTCGATACTCTAGTATCATTCTCGTGTCACCGCTCCTACTTCACCCATTTGCAGCACCCTTTTGTCTTTCTTGAGTCACTGCTCCTCACACACTCACTTTCTACACTCACGACTTTTCCGTGTAGAGTTTTTCTATCATAATTTATTTTCTATTGCATTGATAAGTTAGATTTTAACTTTAGCAAAACTATGTTTATTTATTTAGTACATAAACATCTAATTATTACTTTCTATATGTGAAAGTTAAATATGTCGAGCAAGAGTCAAATACAATCTTTTCAATAATTTAATAGCCAAATAATTTGAGGAGAAACTACACGTTCGCATTTTCAATAGAGTTGGGATTGCACAATCATTACAGTTGTCGTTTATGCAAATAAAAAATTGTATTTTAAAATCAAGTTTCTTTACATATCACTGCCCATTAGGGTTGCCAAAAAGTAAAAATTATTAGGTACATACACCCCGCATGCAGAGATGTATACGGTGTCTGATTCTGACCGTAGATCAGTCAGGATGTATTTCGATGGGCCCTACTTTAAATTTTTTTTTTTTCAAACAAATTTTGATTGCATCATGACCGTATATCACGGTGATCTACGGTCAAGATCGGACACCACTTGCATCTCTGCATGCGGTGTGTGTATGTATGCAATAATTTTTCGTCAAAAAGATTTGTTGTTCGCGAACAACTCGTGTTCGGTTCATTAAGAAGGTCGTGTTCAGCTCGATAGCTAAGTTAACGAGCCGAACAACAACAAATATTTGTTCGTTCTTATTCTGCTCGTTTTGGCTCGAATACTACTAATCAATTATATATATATAAATCTTTGATGAGTAGAATTTTTTTAAAATTTAATTGACTACAAGACTACAAAGATTCATAATCAATTAAAAGTATTAAATTATTAAATTAGATTCAAATGATGTTTTAAATCTTGTCCCAATCCTGAACATCTTATGGCTACGTGATTAGGTTTGTCAAAACGACTCTTTGTTCGTGAACGGCTTGTGTTCGGCTCGCTAAGCAAACGA